ATGGGGCGAGTAGAGGTACCATCCACCAAAACAAGACGTTCTACCAGGTCTCAATCGTTACAGGCCCGTGCCGCTATCCAGCTATTCCTCCTCCAACCGTCGTCGGCCATAGCAAGCGCAATTCGCGTTACCGCAGTCAGTGTCTAGCCGTCTGATTTGTTACTCAAATGATCGCAAAAACAGCCGAACACTGTCGGCCGTGGCCTAAAAAGCAGACATGAAAGGTGATGGTCCATAAGGACAGGCTAAGACAAGAAGCTGGATACTAATAGTAGTCGCAGCTATTGACACATCTTAACTGCGATAGCAGCCTGTTTGTGGTCGATGGCACTCGTAGCAGGCACTTACACCCTATCCTGCTGCAAACGGGGTGGATAAGCTTCTGGTTGCCTCGGCTATCTTTTTCCACGCAGGGGTCGGTCATCAAATGCAATAAGATTTCATGGAAAGGTTTGAACACAGTCTCGTAAAGTTTGCATTCGCATGAACAAAATAAACACATAACCCAAAATGATGCGTAGGTTTCTAGCGTCACCTTCATTTTAAGTGCACATATGCGGCGAGTGCGGCGATAGCCACACTCTGATTAGTCAATACCAGTTCGGTATACGCATGGTCACGCGAAACTACGTAGCACACAATGACAGATGCTGGTCTGTTACACAGTCAGAAAATGACGCACGATACCGTTCTTTTACTACTACTTACATGACTCTGTTTTTAGGACGAGTTTTTCTCCTAGTTCGGCATGCATGAAACAAGTGGTGCGAACACCTATTGTGACAAAAACTACCTACAGAAAAAAAAACCAACGGTTGTTCAAGAAATGGGAGTCAACGCATCTTTACGTTCTAGAGAATGAGAGTGTGGCGTGATTTTGAAGTGGAGACAAGTTTCAGACATTAAAAATACTCCGGATTAATGGCCTAAAACAATTGCGTATGAGGTTTTCATTTTTGGTTAAATGAGCTCTCAACACGAGAACTTAACTTTAATTGAGGAAATTAGGAAATAATCAGGAGACAATGCCATTAACTAGCACGAATAAAAAGGGACAATGCAATTTCCGTTCTTCTGCTTCAATAGAAATCGTATTCGCATTGACTTCAAGTCCATGTGGAACTGAATTAACCAATCATAACGGGCGCATTTCCAGCATGGGTACATCTAGGAATTCCAAGGCCTGCCTAAGACCAATCGTATACGAACCTTGAAAATATTCGATGGCCAAGTTAAGACTCGTATTGCACTGCTACCAGGGTGGTGATAGCTCTCATAGTTTTAAGCAATAAGTTGCTCTCAAAAGCTTAGCGTTGGCAATCAGCTTCCCAATTTCGAATGATTCATCAGCACGATGTGTGGGCTGTAAAGTGCATGCCTTCAGATTGCCTCAACGTTTCTGTCAGCGTGGACTGGTAAAATTGAATTTTGCGGAAATTTTCTCAGTTAGACGTAAATAACTGTTAGAAAATTAATTGTGACAAAGACTATATACAGGTCAGCGTCTGTTTGAATAAATATCTGATCCGCAGCGACAGAGAATGATAGGTGGTAAGGCACTGGTGAACTATGTTCCGATTAAGTGGAAAGGGAGACTGGAATGGCTACTTCTGGCGCATTAGCCGTAATCAATCACTCATACCCAACCCCAAGTGGTAGCCACCCGGAAAGCTCGAACCCGCGACCTTGTTAGTTAGAATTCCAACACTAACCAATTCGCCACGATGAATGCCCCTCTACTATTGTATGTATTGCCGATCGAAACCAGCAAGGCAACGAGCCCGTGGCGCAGTGGTTAGAGCGTTAGACTTCTGACTAACAAGGTCGCGGATTCGAGCCTCGGAGGTGGCTACCTCTATATTAGGATATGGCTGGCTGATGACGACTAACAAGCCAAAAATGACCATTCCAGTCCTCCCTGTCTTTGGCAGCAATCCATTTCTGTCTATAACATCTACCGATATATCTGTACAGAGGGGTGGACGAAAACCGAGCTATTGGATTTCCGAGGCAAACAGACTTCGAATGGTTTGCAAAAGGCACGAACAAAAAACCTTCCGTCAGGCCTTAGCTGACCTAGCTGTGATATTAGGAAATGTGGCGATAGGTACGGCACTGCTTAGTGTCCATTCCTTCTCCTTCTGACCAATCATAGCATTGAAAGCAAGCTGGGCCAGAAGCTAAAATATGCGCGCGCGTACATACAGCACAGGTTGCCCAAAAACGAAATCTATCAGATAAGTCATTAACACCTCGTTAGCGCTTTTCCACTTGGTATTCGCTATCCCTGCAGAATTGGCACTTTCGCATACAGGAATTTGCACACAGCGACCTATTGACAAGATCTTTTGCCGAGCTCGGTACAGTAGGCAGGTATTTTCGTCTGGAGTTTACTGAGAAACCGGTAACACAGGATGTGATATTAAAACATTAGTTAGTAAC